CCAACTGTAAATCCTTTATTAGAGATTATTGTTGAGTAAAAAGACAAAAAAAAAAAAAATAGCTGGAAGCTCGATTTCCTAGTACAGACCCCATATTTATTTAAATGAATTCCAACTTGTGAAGCTATACTCCCTTACCACGACCTCTCATACTTCCCCTTCCCCTTCCCCTATTTGTTTCTTTTGAGATTTTGGGCAAAAAATTTTCAAATCTCACAGCTTTTGGCCGATCTGGTGTGAATCCAGTTGCGTATTTAGTTTTAGGTTTTGCAATAAGTCGCTGTCCTTCCTTTGAGAATTCCTTATACCACTTGATTTTTTTAATAATGTTGTATCATAAACATAAGAGTGTTCGGACAAGTCTAGGTGCATGTTCTAAATTGATAAAGGAAGTTGGGATAGTAGGAGCTGGAATTGTAAATGGTGAAAATAAGTACAAGCCGGGTCCAATAAATATCAATTGGCCAATTTCGATTTTATCAGCTACAATTAAGTAAACAAGAAGTGTATTAGATTTGAAGTAAAAGAATCACCTGCAGGTTCAAAAATATTAAAAAAGATTTAAAAATTTTACCAAATCCTTGGGCCAGGAAAACATTCAATGTTTCACACACTTTCCATATTGCTAACTCGGTACTTATCATAAACTTATTAAGAGCAAAAACACCCTCATCCATCAACTTCTTTCTGTCTCCATTAACCTTATCCAGGTCCGGATTATTAGGACCTTCTGAGACCTCAAGCAAAAACAATGGAATTTGCTTGGGTTGCTCGAAAAATTCCAATACACCATCGGCTTTATAACCATTATTTTGGAAGCATGGTGGAAGTTTGATTTGATTGGTTGTGAAACGTGACAAAATTGAATCACCAAAATTAGAATTTATTATGTAATTTCGGCCATTTTTATTTTTAGATTCCAAGTACGGTGCAGATCATCTATAATCATTAATTGCTTATAGTAACAATTGGTAAACTTCAAAATACTAAAACAAAAAAAAATTATATCATTTTAAAAAATTTAACTGATAAGTTTTATTGTTCATGACTCAAGCTTCAAAAATTATCGGCTGGTTTTTTCTTAAACTGAAAATTGGCAGAGCCTTAGCATTTT